CCGTGCACACCCCAACCACCAAACTGGACAAGACAGAAGCAGAAGGTGGTTTTTAAAGAGACAGAGGCCATTTTCAAGGCATTTAGAAGAGGAAATGATGAAAAGATAAGTTTATTTTCTATTTAAACGTAAAAACAGCATTTTAATAACAGCTAAAGATGACATAGATACTTTATTATGGTATAGTATGAGAAACACATAATATTGGCCCTTTAAAATCTTATATCAGCCAAAAAGTCTTTTTGATCTTGTTTTGAGACTGATTTACCAAACAAGAACTGATTGTGTAAAAATAATAATCTTGTTTTCAGAATGTGTAAAATCATTTGTCTTGTTAGCCTGAAAATTTGACCCAAATTAAGTCAAAATGTTCTGCCAATGGAGTAAGAAAATTTTTACTTGGTTCTTATTTCAAGAATCTTACCAAGTAAAATTTTCTTACACAATCAGTTCTTGTTCAGTAAATCAGACTCAAAACAAGACCAAAAAGACTTTTTGGCTGGATATAAGATTTTAAAACTTGGTAAGATGGACGGTTTTTTGCAGTTTACTGTGTGCAAACATGTTGGGTTTTGTGTCTCGAATTCTGTGGGTTTGCCTCCTGGTTCCTCACGCTGCACTTGTCTTATGAAAAATGCAGATTTCCTTGTTCTCCTTTGTGTTCTAAGGAATCTCTCACCCTCATTTCTGAGAAAGCTGACAAAAGTAAATAAACACATAAACAACAAGAAGAAAACTGTATAAAGTAGACAATTTGGAGGGGGCGATTGCTGTTTGTTGCCATGGGGGTGGAAGTTGGAGGTTGGTGGTGTGTAAAAACAGAGAAACAATTAAGGCTTTCTATAACTTTAATGAATACATTTGCTTTGAGCCTTTCAGCAGCGACAATAAGCCACCAGAGCCTTGGGAGGTGTGTTTATTATGTGTTGGCAAAATGTTCCTTATTTGTTTTTGTGGGTTCTGTACTTTCTGATTAGCCGTGACATTGGTGCTGTTTTCAAATTGCTTGAAATATTGTCATTGTGCACATCTTATTGTCATGCCAAACACGGAGAGGCTGCAATTCACCAGTGCAATCAGCTTCAGCGCAATCACGTCTCCTCACCAGCAGTCAAACGATTATCAGCCACAGTCTTTGACATGCAGAATACAGTCGCAAAACGTTTGGGCCAATTAGTCACTGGGATATTGTTGCTCGTTTAGTTTTGAGAGCGTTTCGGCATCAAATTGAATCAAAAACACATTCAGATCAATCAAACAGAGAGAGAGAATAAAAAAAACATTAGGACCATAGGACCAGCAGGATCAGTGAGGGTAGGCTGAGGATTAGTCAATAGCGTGCGGGGGGGCTTCGCAAACTGACAATTAGGTCACAGATAGGGGACATTTTAAGGGAAATTGAGGGTCAAATTTTCAAACTGGAGGGCCAGTCTTACCACCATGACCTTGGGAGAGTAGTCCCTGTCCACAAGGTGTTCAAACACTCGGAACTCCATTCTCTGATTGAGACAGTTACTCATCTGGGGGGGTTGGAGATATGAGTAAAGGCTTTACATTGAAAGGCTTTCTATATTTGAATGATATACTGTATCTGAAACAAGTGCAGTACTGCTAAACACTCTTTATAAGCTCACATTTTTCCTCACTGCCTCAGTATGTACTGTGATTGTTTGGACTAAGCAGTTAAAAATTTTTAATCTGTTTAATGAAAGGAGACTTGGTGTAAGGAATTTCTACATTTTTGTTATTAGCTATATTTTCTCACAAACGAGCTGCCTCTCAAGGTTAGCAGAGTTTGCGTAAAATATCTGACACATCTAATAATTAAGTAAAAATCACAAAAAGATCAAATGTTTATGCTGTATTTTCTTTGTCACATTTTAAAGGGCAAAAAAAATTAATTTGGGTTCGGTTATTTCAGTTTTTAGATATCTTTTAGCAATGTCTCTGAGTTAGTTTCATGATAACATAAAGTAAAGTGAAATATCAGGGGAATTAATTTTATTTTTTTTACCATTGTGCCTTTTGTAATTCAAGCCTTTTTATTCTTTTATGCATTTAAAACACATAAGCTGCCTTGTTTTAAATTTCTACACATATTGTTTTCCTCAGCTGAGACAAAGTCTTTAAAGCTGCTGCCTCTGCTCCTGCCTGACTCGGTATCAGATCATCTCCTGTCTGCTGTTCAGTCTCACCATGGCGAGTTCTGCCTCCAGCTCCTTGATGCGGTTCTCTTTGAGGTCAAGCTGGGAGCGGAGCATCCCCGTGTGCTCGGTGGCTTCCTTGGTCTGCCGTCGCAGGTCCCACTTCTCTCTTTCCAGGAGGTCTTTCTCTTTAGCCAGAGCCTTTACTGCATCCTCGCTCTCCTGGCAGACACACACATCCTGATGAATAGGTTCACACGTAGAGCCCACTGTCTATTTTTCATTTTTTGTAAGCTGACATTAAGGATCGACCAAAATCTCTGTTTATTCAGTGTATCAACCTTTTCTAATCCTGCTGCATGCAGATATGATACATCACACAACCTGACTGGCAAAATTCTAATCTTTAAAATAYATTTAGTTATTTGTAATACACAGACACATGCCAAGAAAAAATCCTCATCCACAGTGTATCAAGTCACTGATTTTGTTGGCCAGGCCTCATTGATTATTGTTCATGAACTAGGTTTGCCGAACGGACATTTTGTATACCGTGCGTGCAGTGAGCATAGAAACAAAAGGAAAAGGTGTATTTATTTTTAAAAAAAATTCTGCGTGCATTTATGCATGCTGGTGCTGGCGTACGTGCCATACTTTTCTGTGCTGCTCGTAGTTGCGTATGAAGTCGCGGAGCTGCTCCTCCCGGCTCTCCAGTGTGGCATAAAGCTGCTGCATCTGGTTCACCAGATCAGCCTTCTCCGCCTTGAGACGCTTCCGGTCCGACTTCATGGCTGCGAGAAAGGTGAGGTGAAAATAGAAAGTGGAGCGAGGTCAGAAGTGAGCGTTGGAGACCTGCAGTTCCAGTGACGTTGGGATGAAAACAAATAAAAACAGGATGCGATAACTTGGAAATCCTTTTCAATCTACAGTATATTCAATTGAATACACAACAAAGACAAAATGTTCTAATAGATAAACTTTGTTTGTATTTGGTTAGTAAAAAAATATGATAATGCATATTTTTGCTGCATATTTTACATGTAAAAAATATAATAATCTCCTTTGAATATGAAGAGCCTGAGTAAAAAAACATTAAAGAGTAACTTACCCCAAAATTAACTTTTTTTTTAGCTGATAAACTGTCTAGAATGTGTCTAAAATGTTATATAGTACTGTTTCTGTGCTAATTTTGATGTTTTTTTGCGTATTTGTTCAAATCTGTAATATTTGGTCAAAAATTGTCTTTTTGCTGCGCATATGGGTAGAGCAGTGG